ATATATATATATATATATATGTACTGGAAGGAATGTATACGGATTGTGTTCCCGTAGAAAACACGCCGAATCGCGAATTCGTGGTGTCTTGGTGTTCGTTCCTAGCGAGAGACAACGCCGAATTTGCATAAATCGACAAGCTTAACGAGACGTGACACCGATTGAAAGTTACCGGAGGAAATAGAACGAAACTATGGTCGGCGACATTCAAAGCGAAAAAGTATCTGGAGGAATATTTTGGCCTAAACGTTTTTTGGTCAGTGGCTATTAACCCTGCAGCGGGGATTCGTTTGGGAAGCAACCAAGAAGGAATCGATGGCCCGTGAATCGAACGGAGAACCGATTACGTCGAGGATTTGCCATTGGGGCCCCGACTTTCGACCAGGGATTCACCAGACAGCATATTGTTCTGCTTAATTTAGCGTTAAATTGTTTACATCTCATTAATCGCCGGGAAGAACCTGCGGGCGAACCGTCATGATCATCGATGCACGTCAGTCATGGACTGTGGGCATCGCTTTAATTTCGAATTGACCACCATGGCCGCGTACCATGGCCCCGGTAAAAACAGGGGCACGCAGCATCCTCCTTGCGTGTCTCTTGTTTCAGCTTGCGTTCAAGCAGCGCGGTTCACTCGCTCGAGTTCGCTGCAGCGCGCGATGCACTCGACTGCGTGGTCGGTCGAACGACAACCGAGCAATATTGGAATTCGAGCCTGGCTCGACCGGTTCGTTCGTTTACTGTCAGCCGAGTCTGCTTTGCGGTAGCGACACACGTTATTCCGTTGGGTTACGGTTCGCTGATACGCAGCAACCTTGCATATCTATTAAAGATGCGTTTACCGTTCATTTACTAGTAGAGACGATATTTCGACTTTGTGAGATCCACGCATTCACGCCCCGGATTCTCCCGGTTGAAATGCTTGAACGCTTCCGGGTATGAATCGTGTCGTGTAGGCATTACACGTAACGTTGTCAAGATTTTCGATTGTCACGCGTCCGATACAAGATACGAGTGCAATACGTCGCAAAGTCATACGCGGAAACTTCCAACAGTTTTAATTGCAAAGTACATATTTCGAATGGTATGGGAATGTCAATTATTTTCGAAAAGGTCCGATTGTTCGAATGTAAATAGTTGAGATAACGATTAAGAAGATAGCAAGGTAAACCATTAACTCGGATTTGCTCCGAGTCAGAAACAGAGAGAACGCTCGAACTGTGTAAAATACGAAACCGCTCGATTATCTGTAGTCATATTTCTCGCTGCTTTCGTTTTTGTTAACGCATTAGTAGACTCGAGCGCAACGAACACACTATGATCATAGTATAATTTCACGTAATGAGAACTCTGGTAACCGATCGGTTAAAGGATACAGCGCACTATCTACACGGAATCTCATGCTATCGACTTTCAATAAGGTTGATAAAGTCAACCGCACGGACACCGGGTGCGAGAGACTACCCGACGTCTGCAAAGGAGACGCAACCCGCGAATAATTCACTCGTTATCTATACCATCTACTGGTTGGTTAAGCAATGTCTCGAGAACGTCGATATAATACCGTACACACGTTACGCCGCGCACAGATACTCGACGAATCACGCACGCTCCACGAAATTAGAATGTTTTCGCGTATTTAACATATCGCAATGTACAACTGTAATAATTACGCTCAATTCAACTAGCCACTTAACTCTAAGTTCTAGTCGCTCACGCGCAGTGACAGTAAGCAACAGCTGATTTAATCGAGAAATGCGTAAATACTTTACGTAACGTTGTTGAAAAGACTCACCTGTTAGATGACTGCCGGTGAATTCGAAGTCGTCGTCCTGGTCCCAGTGTTTTAAGCTCAGATTTGACAGCGACGTCGCGTTGGCGAACTCTAAATTCGCAAAATGCCAATCCAATATTTGACGATCCTTCGAAGAAAGATATACATCACTGTGAACAACAAATAGAAATTTCACATACCAAGAAGAATTTAATGTGCCAGATGTTATATGAAAGATATCAAAAAGAACTTACCTAGGAGGAGAGGCTTCCAATTCTTGTAGCTTTGCCTCGATTTCTTTCTGTTGTTCAGAAAGTTGATCCCACTCCTAATATGACAAAAATGAAATGATACATATAATGTCTGTTTATAAGTATATAAATAATGATATTACTTAAAGCCATACCTTGCATGCATTGTGAAGATCACGTAATTTCGAACGTAATACAAATTCTTGTGTTATATCACGTGTTTGTAATTTACTCTCGGTCATCTCTTTATATTGTTTGTTTAGTTCGACCAAACGATCCATGATGGAAATCATCTATAATGTTAGAGCTATCAGTATTCTCAAAACATTCAATGCAAATTAAAATACATACCCTATGTTGATTGGTGATAAGTCGACCTTGAAGCGATAATACGGAACGCAAATGAGCTACTTGACGCTGTTTGACACCTTGTTCTTGCAGACGTATCACCCATTCCAATGCCTGACCCAATGAAACCGGTCGCGTATTAGTACCTTGTCCTGATCCAGCGCTACCCACATAATTAAAATCTAATTGATGTGAAAGATACGACGTTGCTTCCAGCAAACGGTTAAACTCTCTTTCTACCATTTCGTCTTTATCTTTCGGAACCTATTGATGGAAAAGTTATTGAAACTTTATAAATGATTCAATGAAGATTTAATTGTTACAATAATAAAATTAATATTTGTATTAACCGTTTGACCATCGCTTTCATACAAAGGACACTTTTGTCGTATTTTATGGAGTTCCATATTAATTTGTTTGCTAAGAGTTGTCACTGGATTTCCACCTAATCCTGTAACTACCATAGCGCCAAGATCAGCGATATACGAAGATTTACGAAATGTTGCAATCCGACCACCAACACGATCCTATAAAATCAGATACATATATAAGATACGAATATATTTCTTTAAGTGTAAAGTAAAATTTTAAATAATAATTACCCGTGCTTCTAGAACAATTACTTCCAAACCAAATTGTTGCATTTGTTGAGCAGCAGCTAAACCGGCAATACCTGCTCCAATTACAATTACTTTACCTAATTTCTTCGTAGGTAATGGCTAAAATAAAAAGTCAATAATCAATATATTGTAAATATAATTCATAGAAAATTAAAATCGAGTAATAAGTACACATTACCTTCAGTCGTTTAAATACTCCAAAATTAATAAAACCATGTCTTTCTAAAAATGCGTGAATTCGACGTGTCAATACGGTATCACTGTTATAAGGTGGCTCTATAGCTGGCAAAGCATTTTCGATTATTAATTGTTGCTTTGGATTCTCGAGCCATAGTTGCAACTGAAATAAAAAGATTTCATAAGAACAGAGAACATACGTTCAATTTCTCATCAAGTTCAGATACGTACAAGTCTGTTTCTAATGTGAAGGAAAACTTTTTGAGTCTGTGGTGGACCACCAGAAACATCTGGGAAACAAGCGGCTTCAGTTGAAGTTAACTTATCAAATGGAAGACGACTTTGAAATGCTGCCCCTTCCAATCCATTAAGTAATTCCTTTACTACAATTAAATAGGTAAATTACAGTTTAATCCATTATAATGGATAATACATATTTTACTTTAAAAAATATATTTACTATTTACCATGAGGATCTTCATGATCACTATCTTGATCGTCTTCTTCTTTTACTTCAATTTTTGGAGCAGAAGATGTGGGGACAGACTGCGGTATACTTGTATCAGTTTCTTTTTTTACTTCGGATACAACCTTTTTTTCTGGAGTAACAAGACCAGGTTTAGATTTTTCCGATGTATCTGAAGCATTTTCATCTTCTAGTTGATTATATTTCTCTTCCATTTCTCTATACTCCACCTACACACAAATATAATGTCAAAATTACAAATCAAAACAGAAGGATATTCAATACGTAATCAAAATCTTATCGAGTACACAGAAATCTGTCTTAACAAATAGGTTAAAAGTTTTTACAATCGTTTATGAATTAAAAGTTGCATTAAATACATTTATTTTAATTTACATATAATATACTCATTTGTATTTACGCAAGAATAAATGTACAATTATTAACAAAGTAAGGTAAATAACAAATAATCAAT